AAGAGAGGTACCTATGCGTCCTCAGGCCCACATCCATCGTCCCTAAACGCTACCCACGTCCACAACTCACTTCTCAAGGTGCACCACAGTGATGCTGGGAACCAGGACAGGCACAACTCAAGGCAGGAGAGTTTGTGCCTCCAGCCGTGACAACACGGAGCAGCACCTTGGAGCGTCTCTACCCTCGCCCCTAGCCCGGCTAGCAGGACTCAGGACCACGACCAGACTGCTAGCCACCACTCAGGTCCACAGCAACTCTTAACAAGTGAGCTTTTCTTGACTCAAAGTATTTCTGAGGACAGACACAGGAAAGTAGGCTATGCACGGCCCTGCAGGCACACAAGTCAACGCATCAGGAGCTGCCTCCCAGTACCGGTCGGGCACATACAGCATTTAGAGAATTGTCTGAAGCAGCAGCCTTTCTGCAACTCTCCCGTTATTTTTCTGACTTCTTGTCACTCTTTTCTTTGCAATCAAGGACATTTCAAGTGACAACAGGCACTTGGAGGGTACTTTGCAGATAGCTATTGGAGATGCCCTGAAACGGGAGCTACGGCGGAACAGATGATCTCGCGCTGCTGGGAACGCAGCGCCGGATGAAAGGTAACCCAGCAGCAGCAAGACTAAGCTAAGGGCAAAACAAACCAGCCCGAGCTGACTCCAGGATAACAGATCATTCAGCAGCAAGCTCGGCAGAACCAGTCTTCTCTAAATCAGGAGCATCCTCTGGGAACAGCCGCCCCTGTGGCAAGTCCTCAGTGCAAGCAAAAGAGATTTCAACTTGGCAAAGGGAAGTCTCAGCTGGAAGCCTAGTTCTCTAGGAGATGTCTAGATATAGCACAGCAAAGGAGGGAGCTGACAAACTGCCTAAATTCTGTCCTGGTACAAGTCAGAGACCATCGAGGACCTCACGTACCAGTGGTGGGATGGTTTTCATGCTTGGTAGCCCAACACGAAGAGCTCGCTCTCCAAAGCCTAGGTTTGAGGTTGTTCTGAGGGACCTGATGATGAGTTTTCATAATTGCAGAAGTATTTGTGGGGTGGGGGGAAGCAGATGCATCTTCAGTTTCCTCCAAGGAATGTCTAAAGCTCATGCCTACAGTCCTTAATTTTTGAAATGTCATCTCTAGAACAGGCAAAAAAATTTAAGTGGAGGTTGGTTTTGTTTTGGAGAAGAGAATCAGTTACTCCTAGGTCTAGATAGTAAGTAGGAAGCAATCATTTTCCATAATTAAAAATCCACAAAACCAAAGATATTGCTTTTCCAGAACCCAAGGCAAGAAACACCACAACACATTACATTTTAAGTGCATTTTGAAAAAAAAAAAAGAAAAAAGAAAAAAGAAAAAAGAGAGACTCTGAGCTTTCTTTTCATTTTTGTTATATTTGACTTGACTTCTTGCTTCCAAGGCTGCACGTGTGGAATGAGAGTCAGGAAACAACAAAGCAAAAAGTTTGATGACCCCCTTCCAGGACAAACTGCCAGCAAGTTAAATAAAGTCTACTTATTTTATTTCTGGATTGACAAGTTCCTTTAGCCAAGAGAAACAGACCCAAGACCTAGTTTGTGAAGACTGCTTCTGCCAGAAACATGCTCCAGGAGGAGAGAGTTTTTTGAGCTTGCTGGCAGCTGCAGCCTGGATCTTCTTTAAACAGGCATAAGGATAAAATATCAGCAAAAACACAGCCCCAAGTTCTCAGGAGCAGGGTGGAAGGTCAAGACCACGGCTTCTAAACGCAAGAGACACCATGCCGTCTGCCAGCTTGCCCTCCAAGTCACAACACAGCTCCGTGCAGGCACATGTAGAGTTCAGACAGCCAAGGAAAGCTTCCCAAAGGTCAGAAGACACCAAGGCCGCATTGTCTGACGCCTTGCTTCTGTCCCGTCCTCCCCAGCACGGGTATGAAGACCAGCTCTGCTGTAACTCAGCAGAAGATGGAGGAAGCCATCTTAAAAGCCTCCGGCCAGCTCGTGGTGCTGCCACATCACCTCGTACTTCTTCCAAGCAGTGCTGGCACGCTCCAGACACCACGTTCCCAGAGCACACATCCCAAATACACTTGGCATTACCATTTTCTGCCCTAGAGAGAACAGGACGCAGACACGCACGCAGACAGGGAGCTGGCTCCAGCTCTGCACACAGTTCCAAGTAAGAGCTGCTGGCTTTTTTTTTTTTTTTAAAAAAAAAAGTGTCTCCTTTGGAATAGCATGCACAGAATTTTAATTTACTCAACTAGACAAATGAACAGTTTCCCAGCAGCCTAAATTGTTCTCTAAGTGCCTAGATGGTTGTCAACACCACAATATCTCCGTATCTCTCAGTATTTAGTTTCACTAAGCATCTTTAAAGCATTATGTACCCCAAATTCCTGCT